TCACATTCGCGACAAAGAGTGATTATTGGTTTAAAAGTAATGATTACTTGTAGATTTTATTGAGGACTTTTGATACTTCCTTTACTTGATAATGATTTAATGGTGATGGGCTTACTTTATCGAATGGTATTGCAGAGGCTTGTATTGTTAAACTTACATAATTTTTCCATGCTAGCATGTCGATTTTACCTTTATCAATATTATTTGATTGTATTTAGTCCATAGCATTAGATTTCATTGAGTCTTGGATGTAGTGATTCACTCCTTGATGAAATGTTATCTTAAACTAAGTATAATTGAAAGATTGGTCTCGAATATTGACTAAGGTATCTTTGACTTGGGTTAATTTGGTTATTAAAGAGCTTTGAGTGGTGATTTGCTCTTACTTTCTTCTAACTTGTTTTGGTGTTGATAGTATTGAAGTGATATCTTAATGTTGATATTATTGGCATTGGGATTAGAGTGAGATGAGATGTCTCTCCATAGGACTGATATTGAGTTTTATAATCTTGAAGCAGATAATGTTAATGATTTTGTTGTAACTTTGTATTATTTAGCATTCATACATTTGTTAGTTAACAATTATGTTAGTGTTCAAATGAGTTAAATAGCAAGTTGAGTTAGTTTTGTTCTAGGCGAGATTGTTTAGTAGGAGTTAAGCTTTATGCTTTTTTTGGAAAAGTGATTTAGTTGTGGACTATATTAGCTTTACGAGAGAAAGAGTTAATGGTTGATATTGGAGTTATTTATTCCTTATTAGATTTAAATTGAGAATATATTGATCATTAATGATTCTTTTTGTATTTGTTATGAAATGAATTATATCTTGCTATAAAAGATGGATTTATAAAGGATTGTTTAGTGATCACTTGTTAACATACTTCATTAGATTTAGCTTTTAGATTGATACAAACATGTTTTTCATTATGCTTTTATGTTATGAAATTTAGCTTATAGATGTGTTGAGGAGGATATTGGGTTGTACCATGATTTCTTCTTTAACATTGAAGTTAGTTTATATGAAACTTATGATCATTGTTAAATGAGACTTGGGTATAGGCTTCTTCAAACTTTTGGTTCTTTGAGTTTTATACTTATTGTTAAAAGTTATTAGGAAAGGCATTTTAGCTCATTAGTTTTGATGTTGAAGGTGGTAATTTGTATTTAGTAATCATTGATGATAATTGATTGTCATCTAGGATATTTAATTATCCTTGTTAAAAAGTTTTGCTTGATTATTGTTGATATAAAATGATTTACCATTCTTCAGGATAGTAAATTCTTTCCTCAACAATGATTCTACATGTCTTTATTGATAAGATGATTGATAATATTTCATTATTGTTAATTATTTTTATTGATGGCTTATAGCTTTTCATATTACCACATATTCTTTGTGGTTTTCTTTGAATTAGTCTCTTGGATTTGAGATATTAGTAGGATGTTGCTGATGTTTGCTTAAGCAACTTGAATTCTTTGGTGTTATTGACCAGGATCTATTCAAATTGGTTAGTGCAATAGTTGGCATAAACAATTGTTTGTTAATCTTGTTGCATTCATTTTGTTCTGTTAATTATTGCTAAATTTAGTTCTGATAGGTTGGATGTTATTTCCCTTAGGTGATAAATTCATGAACATTTTGTTTGCCAAGTCGATGATACTTTGTGTTTTTTAGTTATTTCTTATAAATTATTTAGCATATTATTTATAGTCTTTAATAGTTAAATTTTATCATTAAGTGTCCTTAATAGTATATTTGTTATTGAATTTTGTTAGATAGTTAATCCTATGCCTTCAAACTATAGTGATCTTGGTGGTGTTGTATACTTAATACTAGTTTATTAGATGATAACTTACTTGAAATACATTGTTTAAACCAAATGGCATCACTTGTAGAAACCAAACGGTGTACAAAAAGTAGTGTCAAGAATATCTTCTTTGGGCATCGATACTTGCTAGTACCAAAAAACAAGATCTAACTTGGTGAATTAATGCCTTCTTCCAGACGATCGAAAAGATCAGTAGTGTGAGGAAGAGGGTACATATCTGAAATCATTACTTCATTTAACAGATGATAGTCAATGCAGAAATGAATACTCCCATCAAGCTTCATCACAAAATAAGGTTCACATACCTAAGAACTTTGCAACTTTCAAATAACACCCTTTTCCATCATCTCCTTGATATTTACACTTAAAATTTAATCTCTTTATGACAAATATGAATCTTAATTGGATGAGCATCCCTAGTTAAAATTGGATAATGTGTTGCAATCTTGGTTCTAAATGACAGGTTAAATTCAAAGAGATCGGCATACTTTTTCATGAGCTAGTCAACCACTACAACCCAAAGATTGTTAGAGGGATCGAAAAAGGGAAGAAAGGAACAAGACAGAAGTATATGACGAAGTAATGGGGAAACAAAAGTGATGGAAGCAAAAATAGAAGCAGAGGGATAAAGAGGTACAAAAGTGAGAGGAATAAAAAAAATATAAAGAAGTATGAAATAAAGGGAAGAAGTCTCAAAATCATATCTAGTATGATTATCCTACAACCAATTTATACTAAGGATGAGGTCAAAAGTTTGACTCGGCACCACCTATAATGATTGCAACTCAAGCTCGAGATTGCTCACATGCACAACTAGGTTTGCCTCATCCCATGCATATATGTGTGTACGGCCGTTGCCATAAAGAATGAAAACTGGCTTTGCCATATAACATAAATATAAATGGTAACATGTGGTAGTAGACTGAGCAATAGAAGATAAACTTAAGCTTATATCAACCAAAATAAAGAGAAAAATATAAGATCTTTTGTTATAAAAACAAGTCTGGAAAGTAAATATTGGATGAATTAGTGCCAAGTGAACTCTTTAATGATACTCCTGAAAAAAATATAAAAGAGTTATTGACTTATTCGAGCAAGGTCCCTCCACTACTCGTGTAACTCTTTGTTTCCCAAAAGCATCTCAATGTCTAGACTTTCCACTGCAATAACACCAATATAACAGTAAGCTTTTGAGTTTTGGATTTCCCAAAAGGTCACCCAGCCCAGTACTATTCAAACTCAAGGATGCTTAACCTTAAATATCCCAAGACCCTTAACTGATTGGAAAAGGGGGTGCACTCTTATTCATGGGCCATTTCCCTTTATATTTGAACTTTATGAATTATCTCTCAAGTCGTTCTCTTTGGTTACTTACAAACCACTACATTTCTTTGCAAATTCACGCCCTTGTGAATGGAAGTTGAGAGTCACAGCTCTTCTGAGAGCCCCGCACTCTTGACACTCTACCCCTCGTGTCGAGCCTAGCGGGAGCAAACTGGACTAACAAAATGTTAATTAACATATGGTGTGATTCCCCTAGCAAATCAATAGAGTTGGACCCAAGACCTCTTCAATACCAAATGTAAGATCTTGAGTTTTAGACTTTCCGGGAAGTCACCCAGTTTAGTATTATTCAAACTCAAGAACGTTTAAACCCAAATATCCCAAGACTTTTAACCGATTGGAAAAGGGGGTGCACTCTTATTCATGGACCTTTTTCCTCTATATTTGAACTCCATAGATCATCTTTCAAATCGTTCTCTTTAGTTGTTTACAAGAATGTTGTTGATGCTAAGGTCTCCACCTAAGAAATGAAGGTTGCCAATCAAGAAAATGCTAATAATGCTGATAAGTATGATCAACTTCACACACCCAGTAATAGATATCACGGCTATGATCACATCCTTGCCCTTGTCCTTGAATTCGGGCAGCAATAATATTAACCTCCATTAAAATAGGACCATCTCCTATAAAAAGTGGAAAAGGTGACATTTCATAACGTTATGTAAAGCAAAGAGCATCGTCAAGGGTGGTTGGAGCAAGTGCATGCACAAGTCCTAACAAAATTTTGACAAAATGCTAGCCACAACATTTCTAACTTGCTCTGCTCCAGGCATATCAATAAACACTTCTTGTGTGTGTTCAAGGTGCAATAGTGGGTTTTACACTTAAAGTTTTTATTAGTATAGCCTATACTAGGTTCTTTCAACAAGCTTTTACAAGCTAATTTCTAATTTTATACTCTAGCAATAAGTATGCACTTTTTTTTGAATGCTTATTTGTGTATGATTTCACCGATAAGGAAAAAAATGTATGAGCCTTCAATTGTATAGCATAAAAATAAAAAGATTGGCTCTAAGAAGACAAAAAACAAACCTAAATCCTCTTTAGAAAATTATATTGATCAAATAAGTATCATGACACAACTCTACTCCTAATCATCTATTGCTAGGCCCACTTTCCTGATGGAGATGTTGCAACCTTTGCATAAGCTGCAAAATCTTTTATGTTGACTTCACTTTTATTCTATAGTAAGGTGGCAACAACTTTTATAGAAGAGATATTTTGGGGCAATTTGAGTAGGATTTGATTAAGGAATAAAGCAATATATCATATTAATCTAGGTCACTTCTTTTTTAGACTATCATTATTTTTATAGTGCATGACAGTGATTTATTATAGGATAACCACAAAGTGGACATATATGCCAAAAGAATGGAATGGGACCCAAGTTTTAAGGCCTTAAACCACTAAATGAAGGGATAAAGCTAAACTTCCAAATATATAACTAAAGAATGAAGAAGTTAAAGCATGGAATAACTTTTGAGTGAATAGCCAAGAAACTAAAGAGGAAAAGAATAAGAGCATAGAGCAATTTCGAATAATTCTAGAACAATTAGCATTCCAATGCCAAAATTAATACACAAAATAAAGCCAAACAAAACTATTTCAACATATTAATATAAGGATATAAATATTCCATCAATTATATGGAGTTTAAATTTAGACCAAAGCCAAATATAGAATAAAAACAAACACACCTAATAATGAGCCAAATAATGTCTTAAATTAGTTCATCATGTCCAACTTACCCACTATCTATACATATAAAGGGATAGTGGGGAGGCTCGCCGGCCGTTGGATCCCAGGCCCGGGCCAGGGTCGGTAGCCATGGTTGCGCGAGAAATTTTTCTGATGTTTGCTCCCGGCCAATGGGAGGCGGCCAAGCCGCGTGGGGCGGGAGAAGAAGGCACAGCGACACGTGTGCCAGTGGTGTCCTGCCCCCGTGCCCATTCTTCTGAATGCCTCGACTGGCTCGACACGCAGGAGCCAGACTCAGTCCTCTATGTCGCATTCGGCAGCATAGCGAAGCTTTCGCAGGAGGAATTCGAGGAGCTCGCGCTCGGTTTGGAGGCGAGCAAGGTGCCGTTCTTGCTCACAGTCAGGCCGCCCCAGTTCGTGGACGAGGGCGACACGACAGTCCTGGTGAAGAACAGTGACTTCTACAAGAACTTCGTCGAGCGGACCAAGGGACGAGGCCTGGTGGTTTCATGGGCGCCGCAGAGAGAAGTTCTGGCGCACAGGGCAGTGGCTGGATTTGTGAGCCACTGCAGATGGAACTCGGTCCTGGAGAGCGGCTCCAGCGGCGTGCCGATCATCTGCTGGCCTCGGATATAGGCTCAACCGCAAGATCATGGCGGAGAGGTGCCGCATCGGGGTGGAAGTTTCGGACGGGAGGAGCTCCGATGCGTTTGTGAAGCGGGAGGAGATTGCTGAGGCCATTGCGAGGATCTTTAGCGACAAAGCTCGAAAGGCGAGAGCGAGGGAATTCAGGGACGCGGCGAAAAAGGCAGCGGCGTCGGGTGGTGGCTCTCGGAATAACCTGATGCTGTTCACAGACTTGCTGATGTTTGCTCCCGGCCAATGGGAGGAGGCCAAGCCGCGTGGGGCGGGAGAAGAAGGCACAGCGACACGTGTGCCAGTGGTGTCCTGCCCCCGTGCCCGTTCTTCTTAGCTCGCCCTGGATGCCCTGCCGCAATTGAGCTAACGCTTGCTTGCCGGATCAGTGGCAATCGCAGCAATTGTGCTTCTTCCTGCAAAGGTCTGTGTTCACAGTCAGCCCGGCAGCCGCTAATTTGGCCCCCAACCCCAACAATCTAGATTTTTGTGTGCTGTGAAAATTTGAAATGTCTTCATTTGGGTTTGTGGATGCTATCCAGTGGCAGAGCTGAAGCCAGAGCCAGCCTTCACAGCCAGAACCATCAGAGAGTTTGCAGTCGCTGTCCTTTTGCGAGAGAGAACAAGCCCAAGGTGAGTTCTCTAACTTGCAAACCCCACCCACCTCTCACAGTTGCTCACCACGCCCTGGAAAAGGTGTGCCAGTCCTGTGTCTAGGTTTTATTGGTTGCTAGATTAGTCTCTTTTGTTTACAGATTAAGGTGTGTACAGATTGTGCTCTCATTGTATAGTCTTCGTTTTTATTTTTTTTAAATTTTTTTTCCAGTGTAAGAAGAAGGCGAGTTCTGGCTTTTACTTAGAATCTCTGAATATTTTAAGATAAGTGCTTTGACACTAAATATGTTATTTCATCTCATTTATCATCCCTAGCAAATATGCCTCGGCTTCGCGAAGTATTAAGAGGCATACGTCACCATTTGCCTCCAACTATTGACACTAGCACATATAATCATATTCACAACAACCTTGCATATGGTAATGAAGAAACTAATCTAGACCTTGAACATGCTATTGCAAAAATTACTTCAAATCTTGACAATGCTAATACAAACATAGCATATGCTGATGAAGGTCATACAAATATAAACCTTGAAAATGCTAATGAAACTAATACAAATACATGTAATCATCACAGTTATACTATCTATAAATTAGCACATCAAAAGAATTATAATGACCATACAATACAACTGTTTAATATTGGAAATATGTCATCCGTATGTGTCTTTTGTGGTGCATTACATTTTGAAAATGAGTCAAGATCAATGTGCTGCCAGAATGGAAAGGTTTCCCTTCCCCAGCTTTCATCTTTACCTACTATATTGTGTATGCTTTTTAATGAAAATAGAAACTCCAATTTTAAAATTAACATAAGAAATTTCAACAGTGCTTTGGCTTTTGCATCAATGGGTGCTAATATTGATAGTTTAAGTGGTAAAGGCCCATATTGCTTTAGAATACATGGTCAAATTTATCACAAAATTGCTTCAGCATATCCTGCAGCTAACGTGCCACCATCATATGGACAACTTTACATGCTTGACGCTTCTGAGGCTACAAATATTAGAAAGCAAAACCCATTCAACACAAATTGTGATTCTAATTTATTATTACAATTAGATAACTTGCTAAGAACAATAAACCCGTATGCACAAGCTTTTCAAATGATGTATAATCTTGAATCACAAGAACAACATCGCTCAATTTGCAATGGAACCCCAAAACGTGGTGTTTACATGATTGTTAGAAGTGAAAGTACTAATCTACATCGTTATAATTTGCCACAGACTAATGATGTTGCTATTGTTTTCGCTATTGATGAGGGTGAGCCATCTCTTGATAGAGAAATATGCATACATCCATATAACTCACAGCCAATAAAAATCTCTATTCGTAATGAAAATTGTGATCCTATAGTTTATCCTTTACTTTTACCATTTGGTGATAAAGGTTGGCATGAAAAAATCTATTACAATGAGTCACATGTAATGCTACTCCAGTACTATGCATATCGATTATCTCAACGAGATAGCATTGGCAACTCTTTCCTTTATGATCAATTGCTACATGCTGGGAAACTCACTCAACAATTTATAGTTGATGCTTATGTAAAGGTTGAATCTAACAACCTTAATTTCTTTCGCACTCATCAAAAACACTTAAAAGTGGATTACTACACAGGTCTTATGGACTATGTTAGCAACAGAGCTACTACTAATAATGTTGAACTTGGAAAAATTGTAATTTTGCCTTCTACATTTCCTGGTAGCCCACGAGCAATGCAACAACATTATCAAGATGCTATTGCTATTGTCACACATTTTGGAAAACCTGACTTATTTATTACATTTACATGCAACCCAAAGTGGCCTGAAATTGTGCAAAATTTACAGCTGAATGAATCACCTGAGGATCGACCTGATTTTATTTCAAGAGTTTTCAACTTAAAGCTTAAAGAATTCCTACATGACATAAGTATTAAAGGAATTTTTGGGAAGTGCATCGCATATGTTTATGTTATTGAATTCCAGAAAAGAGGTTTGCCTCATTGTCATTTCTTAGCAATGTTATCAAGCGAAGATAAGATAAGAAATCGAGACTCAGTTGATGAATTTGTCACTGCACAGTTGCCACACCCATTGTTAGAACCAGAATTGCATAACATAATTATATATCATATGATACATGGTCCATGTGGTAATTTAAATCCTAGAAGCCCTTGCATGGAAAATAACAAATGCCCTAAGAATTATCCAAAAGAATTTAATGTTGAAACCATTTATTGTGTTGATGGTTATCCTGATTACTACCGTCCCAATAATGGGCGCACTTTCATAAAAAATGGTTGTACTATTGACAACAGATGGGTTGTTCTTTATAATAAATACCTTTGTAAGAAATATCAAGCACACATCAATGTAGAGATCTGCGCTTCTATTAAAAGTATTAAATATTTATTTCAATATGTATACAAAGGTTATGACTGTGCAACATTAGAATTCCTAATTGCATTTGAAGAACGAGGGACTTTAAATTGGGACGAAATCTCAAGTTTTGTCGATGCTCGATATATTTCTGCTTCTGAAGCCATGTGGCATATATTTAAGTTTCATATGCATGATAAATCACTAACTATTATACGTCTTCCAGTTCATTTACCCAATTTTCAAAACGTTTATTTCAGACCAGGTCATGAACAAGAAGCACTAGAAAGAGCCACTCAAAATGGAACAATGCTTACACAATGGTTCAATTTAAACATGCAAGATACTAATGCAAGGCAATATACATATGCTCAAATTCCATTACATTACACATATAACAAATCCTCTCATAAATGGCAATTACGCCAGCGAAAAGCTAAACTCATACCAAGAATGTATTCCATATCTCCTTTTAATAGTGAGTTATAAGCAAAGGTGCTATATCATTTGAGGATATATGTACTATCGAAGGTGTTACTTTCTCCTCTTTTAAACAAGCAGCTATGGCAATGGGACTTTTAGCAGATGATTCACAATGGCAACACTGCATGCAAGAAGCTTCTACTTTTAAAATGCCATCCCAATTAAGACAGTTATTTGTTTTTATTTGTTTGTATTGTTCACCAAAAGATCCAAATCTATTATGGGATCAATTCAAAATTGATATGTTTGAGGATTATGCTAGAAATGACATAAACTATTTTGATATTGCTTTAGTCGATATTAATTCAAAATTCCAACTACACAATAAATCTAATTGTGATTTTGGTTTACCACTCCCAACTCTTACTCCTATTATCAAACACATGCTTAATACAGAGATCCCTGACCCATCACAAGACCAAATAAATGCAAACATAAATCAATTCAGTTATGAACAACGTTATATTTTTGAACTCATTATAAATGCCATTGATACTAACCAACATCAATGTTTCTTTATTGATGGACCTGGTGGTATTGGAAAAAAATTTCTACTTAATACCATCATTACAGCATTACAATTAAAAAAAATAAAAGTAATCAGTATGGCATGGACTGGGATTGCAAACATTTTGCTAAAATATGGTCAAACGGCACATATGACTTTTAAACTTCCTGTTCCGTTAAATGAAACTTCTGTCTCTGCTTTAACAATTAATAGTGATGCTGGAAAAACCATTAAACAAGCAAATGTTCTCATATGGGATGAAATTAGTATGGTTCATACACATGCTTTCTCTGTGGTTGATAAATGTTTAAAACATCTCAAATGTAATTCTAAACCATTTGGAGGCGTTATAGTGATTACAAGTGGTGACTTTCGTCAAACCCTTCCTATTGTTCCCCATGGCCATAGAACCTCTATTATTTCAAGCTCAGTTAAAATGAATAGACTATGGTCATTCTTTACAACACTAACATTAACAAAGAACATGCATTCAAGTAATCTTTGTTTTTCTGAATGGCTTCTCAAACTTGGCAATGGTGATAGTAGTTTACAGTTGCCATGTCTCCCACCAGATATTATCAAAATACCACATGCATTATCTATCACTACATCTGTTGTAAACTTTGTTTTCCCAAATACCGATGATATTATAAATACTTATACAGCTGCATCAAAGGTTATTCTCACCCCACTCAATGACGACACATTCAGAATAAATAATGACATTGTTAAAAGACTATCAGGTGATCCATATGTTTATTTGAGCATTGACACAGTTGACTCAGATCACCTAGAAGAGTTCCCAATTGAATTCTTAAATTCAATCACCCCATCGGGACTACCACCACACAAATTAATTCTAAAATAAAATGTGATTTTGATTCTTCTTAGGAACATATCTCCACAAATTGGTTTATGCAATGGCACTCGCCTCATTCTCAAGCAAGCATCTCAAAACATTTTAGATTGTGAAATTATCACAGGACAATTCAAGGGATCACGAGTTTTTATTCCACGTATTACCCTTACACCTTCTGATGTTGAAATCCCTTTCAAGATGTCTCGAAGACAATTCCCAATTCGTCTGGGTTATTGCTTAACTATTTCTAAAGCCCAAGGCCAAACTTTCGACCGTGTTGGCATTTACCTCCCCCAACCTATTTTCACACATGGTCAACTTTATGTTGCTCTGTCAAGGTGTAGATCACCTGAACAACTTCGTGTTCAAGTGCTTGCAACCCCCCTTCAAGGCAATCTTATACCACATAATCAACACTTTTACACTGTGAATACAGTTTATGCTGAAATTCTTAAGTAGACTGACAAAAACATGGCACAATTCTATATCCAACCATGAAGTTGTGAGTTTCAAATGCACACCACAACAAAGCTGGCATTGACAAGTGTGCCTTGGGTGCTGTCCCATTTTGGTTATGGCATGTGCTATTTAGTTGCTAATGGCAGAGGTACAGTTTTCATCCTATTGCTTTTTGAGTGCAGCTCTCATTGCAATATAATGGTTTCTCGCTCATCCCAGGAACCTCTCTAGCAGGCTGAGGAGCAAGTACCAACACTTGCACCAAAGATGGACTTGGAAGTATTCTTTGGGCTTTTTGTGTTCAAAATGGAGGAATGCAACTCAATAGTTATCTAATCTAGCTTATATAATGTTCATAACACATTTGGTTATGAGAATGTCTTTCAATTGTGGAGTTGATCAAACAGCAAACATAGCTAAGCTTAGAAAACCTCTTCAAATGGCATCAAATTTGCCAACCACCCAGCATTTGCTGGGCAATTGCTAGTCCTTATATAATGTGCTTCTTAAAGTTTTAACACTAGCAAGAGAAGATCTCCATGCTTATATACTCACTTGATAGTGTTCATGATTGTGATGAGAAGTCTATTGCCATCATTTGCATAGATTGTTAGTCCTAGGAGCTTGCCATTAGCAGTGATGATATTTTTCCAATCTCCTCACCATGGAGTGGGGAGCTTAGGAATTCTTCATGCCCACCAGGTTTTTTGACCAGATGGAGAAGCACAGCAACATCATGGCTAGCACTTTTACTGAGCTATTCAATGAGCTTTCAAAGCTCTTTATAAGGTCTTGAATGGGAAGGTCTCTGATAGATGACAATGGCTTCATAGACAGTAACTCAAAGCCACAATGTGTGTATCCTAACATAGTTTAGTTGTAGAGAAATGCTTGAGAGGATACTGCTGCAACAAGGGAGTTCATAATTGCCAGATTCCACTACTGTGACACAATCACAGGAAGTTTTGGAACTTGGCCTTCATCACCAGTGTACCAACATCTACGGATGGGAAGTCCCAATGTGGTCCTCGCAGCGGGCTTGGGTGTGGCAAGGGAATCGCTATTGACTTGGAAATTCTGGATAGATCAGTTCTTGTGCTCTTGCAAGGGGGATGGTCCTGTGGAGGTTTGGGCCTGGATTACAAGTGTAGCCCCAAAAAAGTCCAGCACAAGGAAACCAACTGATGAAGCAAGTTGATCCAGAACTTTTATTAGGTTTTTTTTTTGCAAAACTTCATTAAAAATTTATTTATAAAGGTATTATGCAATTTTAGAACTTTGTGAAATTGAATTTAAATCTCACTGCTTGTTAATTTCCCCATACAAGCAGTTGGTATTGTGGGAGGGGTGCCTGGCTCCGGAGGAATTGGAACAGGATCCGGGATGGGATCTTTTGATCCTGGAGGAATCGGTGGGGTTTGGGGTGGAGGAGTAGGCATTGGAGCCCCAGGCGGTGGAATAGGAGGCGTTGAAGGTGTTGGAAAAGGTGGTGGATTCCCGGGTGGTGTAATGGGAGGAGTGTTTGGAGGGATGATGGGAGGAGCCCTGGTTGAGGCCACCGTGACTCCACTTAACACACCACTTAGCATAAACTCTGGCGGGCTTGACAGAGGCGTGATCTCTGGCTGTGCCGGGCCAGAGGGGAACTCTTGTGGGACTTGGGGAATTGGGGACTCACCTGGGATGGAATCTGGGGGGAGCTCCGTGGGTATGGAGGGAATATCCCCCGGTGGGGTGAAGTCTGGTGGAGGTACTTCAAGGGGCGGTGTGACAATGCCCGGTGCTTCTGGCGTGCCTGGGATTTCCGCCGGGGAAATGGTCGGCGAGATTTCGGGCTGGATCGACGGTGGAAATGTGGGCGTCGGGGGTGGCAGATTCGGATCCGGAATGCTGGGCTCTGGCGATGCCAAGAACACTTGTTGGACCAGAGAAAAACCTGAGAACAGAATTGGATTCGAAGAGAACAATGTTAATGCTGACCTTGAATTGAAGCTTCTAGTGGCCGCGACGCCACAGCTCTGATGAAGTGATGATCGGCCAGAGGAAGAGCGCTCGTCGCAGAGATTTGAAGCGCTAGGGCAGCGGAACCCACAAGAACGCGCAGCCTGGAATGATCTTGCTTACCGATACACGCAGCGCCGGCACTGGAATTGGCGAGGCTAGATCTTTTGTCGCAGCTGCTCGGGATGAATCGAGTTGCTGTAGGTGAAGCTTGCGAGGAGAGAAGCACTGTGTTCTTCAACGCACCCATTGGATCTTCTCCTTTTTGGACGGCCGGGCAACATATCCTTTTACGCTTTTGAAATGCACACGCCAAGTGTCTGGACACGTGGTAAGTAGATAGCTCACTTCCTTGATTACACAAAGTATTTTAAAAATTCTGTAGAAGGATGGCGCGCGAGTACGTGTCCAAAGGCGATGCACTCTCCAGGTGAAATTTCCATTCCAGCTCACCCTGCGTTTTTCCTGTAAGTATTTATAAAAATACCATTCTTTGTATAAGCTGTGTTGTGTAGACGCTTAAAGTTAAATTCTCAAACTATGCTTCCATAGTTCTACTATAAATAAGTTCACTGTTTTCCATAGTGAGTTTAAGAGTGGACCATTTGCCCCTTACTCAAATTTTTTCTTTTGTGTTTTTCTATGCTAATATCATTTGCATCTTGTCAAATAGCTGTAAGAGCAGGTTCTTGATAGGATCAACAGTCACACAACATTGATAACACTACAAGGTGAACATCTTAAGTTGAACTTCTTCTCAATTCTTCCACTTTACATTCATATACACTATAAAAAAAGTTTGCAATAAATATATGTGTTTAATACTTGGAAATGGCAATCTCCAACCTCATTTCAAGGATTGTCCTTTCACGAGCTTAAAATGATTCATCCATGAGAGTAATGTAAGCACATATAATACAGGAGCAATATACAATATTTGTTAATCTTGCTTTATTAACCAAACCAAGCTTGCCAGTCTGATTCTCAAGTAAAATTTTGAGGAACTAATATTTTAAAGTTATGCATAGTTATTTCTTCAAATATACTGTTATATTGTTATTAAAATATAATACGTTATTCCTTCAAAAATATAAATATAACTAGAAACATTTCCTAGTGGTCAAAATCATTTTTTTAAAATCTTGGTATATTAAACATTTTATAATATCTAAGTAAATTTATATTTTAGCATGATAAAATACTCTGCAATTTGCTAATAGATCTTCACTTCTCTAACAATTTAAAAATTTCTAATTATACTATGGCTATAACATTTAATTAACTTAAATTAAATAATATTCTAGATCATTGAAATATATTTAAAGTGTTAGTAATTAATTTAGAATTTCCCTTTGAAAAACTGTAAGATTGATACTCAAAGATAATAAACCTTGAGTCTAAAAAAATTTAAAACACAATATTAATGACATTAATTTATTTATATTACAATTATTTTATAAACTAAAATGACATAATTTTTGAAATAAATTTTATTCAAATAAATGATATTTCATAAATAGTTGATAAGAGATAATTTAAATTCAAGAATTTATATTAAATAAAATTTAATTTACACTTAAATTTAAATTAAATGATATAAAATGTTTTATTAATCAAATTGCTAGTATAAAATAATCTTTACTTGTAAGGAAATAATCATTATATGAATAGAAACTAAGGGGCACTATAATTTGTCCATGAAAGGCAAATTTTTTTGGCAATGCTTTGCTTTAGTGTTTGGGATTGTGTTTTTTGTTCTTATTTCTTCATTCTCTTTTAAATTTAGATTTGTATTAGCTTTTTGCAAGATCTAAAATTCTAATTATCATTGTGCTTAAATTTGCTCTTTCTTTTGATCTTTATTACATTCTCTTCTTCTACCATACTATACCATCATTGATCAAGGAGTATATCATTTGAGGTTGCTAATGTTGCTTCATTAGATCAAACTTTAGTGTTATGGGGTGTGATTATATTAGTGTTGCATTCATTTTTAGTGTCGTCTCAAATTTTATAAAATGTGATTACACAATTTGTGTTATTCTTAATGTTCCGCTATCTCCCATTGATATGAAGAGTGATCATGAGATCGATTGACAAGCTATGGATGATGTAGTTTGGTTTTTGAAGAATGTTTAAGGATTGAGTTTATATGGGAAAATAATGTTTAAGAACTCAAATTAATTTTGGATTGTGATGAGGAATTTGATTATTATGGAGATAACTTTGGAAGATGAGCTAGAGATTTTGTGGAGTAGGTATAAATCCTTCAATTTATCATCTGATTTTTTTTCTTTACCTTATACTCTTTTTTAACTTTTTTTTATTTCTTGACTTGAGCCATTTTCTCATGTTCTAAGTGTTTCTTCCTTATCTACAATATTTTTTCCTCCTAGCATGTTGATCATTTATGATTATTATGATTATTTTCTCAATCTAGTGTTAAGTTGAGTGTTTTCTATTTTTCTTATATTAATCTGGATGTTGAGTATGTGTATGAAGTTGAGAATCTTGCTTTTGTTTCATTAGCAAAGTCTTTAATTAATTCTAGTATTAAGTATTCCCATGTTTTAAAAGTTGAATCACTTTGGTTAGAATTTTGGGTTATATCCTCACTTATTAATGTTGTTAAGAGACTTTAATTTATTGTTATTATTGAGGAGTTTATGTATTTCCTTGAGAGTGTGGATGTTGTTATTGATTTTTTTATCTCAAACGTTGAGTTGTGTGTTAAAGAGGTTGAATAGTGTGAATCTTTTGCTTATATTGTGGTGGCCAAAATATTTTATGATAAAAAGTCCTCTATTTTCCAAACTTTGAGCACATGTCCTTCTTTTATATTATTAGTTATTGTAAATTCCTTTTTCCATGCACTTTTTCTTCTTCCACAATTGTTTTTCCTCAATTTTTCACATTTTATCCTTCTTGCTACTTTAAACTTTTTTTTTTTCGGAGGATAGGTTAGGGGATGGACAAGAGTTTAACCCCGACAATGGAGTGAGGATGAGTGAATACAGTAGTGAAGCAAAGATAAATGATATAGATTATGGAGTGAGAACAAGTATAGTGAGTTTTAATGAAATATTCAACCTCAATGTAATAAAGCTAAACATAGATGGTAGAATAAAAAAAAACCCAATAAGTCCAAATAAAGTTAGTGCTTTAAAACTTTTTTTCCTTTGAGAAGGGGATAAAAAGGACGTGGAGAATAAATTTGATCTCCTATATGTAATGTTAGATAAAGTTGAAAAGGCAAATTCTACTTATGGTTATGAATCCAAGTTAATAGTGGTCTCAAAGGATTATCAACAAGAAGACTTAAACAAGGATGTATTATTTGTATTTCATAGATTAAAGTGTTTCTCAAAATCCTTTGCTTTGATTTAAAGTTATGACTTCAAAATTAATTTAAGCATTTGGCAATTGCATATGAAGTTACAATTAGTTCATCAGGATTTTGTAGTTAATTAATGCTTATACCATAACTTTGGGTTTTATTTCAATCATGGTTATAAGCAATTGTTGGTGGTTTTGTGAGAGCTTCAAATTCTTATAATAATTTATAATCACTCAACAAAAACTCTAGATATTCCACATAACTTATTGCCATCACATTTTTCATTTTACAGAGGGGAGGATGGTGTAAGGTTTGTAAATATATGTATATATATATATACCACTGAATCTAGTTCATCTATTTTTGTATATAAATAGGGTTTTAAAACTCAATTAATAAACTTATTCCTATATCTCAAGCACTTATATATTCAAATTTAATAGTAATATTTTTTAAAAAAATAGTAAGTTTTGGTTTTCTTAAGCAGTAGTGAATATATCTAGAGTATACATGGATATTCTGGGATATTTTAAATAGTTGTTATTCATTTAGATTAATTTATATATTTAGTTTATATTTATACCTAATATATTTTTGTAACCAGTATATTTTTTTGGTTTGCTTAAGCAAACCTGTGGGATGGTAATGGATATACCTAGAATATTCTTGGATATTCTAGGATATTCTACCATTTAATGGTTGTTATTCAATTAGACTAATCTTGTATTTATAATTTACAAACATATTTATAATTTATAAACTTGTTTAAACACTTTCTAGTATATCATTTTTTATTCTATCATCAAATGGTTGATATGTAATAAGATTAATCTTGTGTTTATAAATTATAAACATGTTTATAATTATAAACTTTTATTTAATCAATTGGATTAATAAGTATAAATAAAACTATTATTAAGCAAACCAAGTGTTATTACATGCAGCATGTAACAAATTATTTATTCTACCATCTAATAAAAAGATTAATTTTAAACTTCCAATTGATCAATAAATTTATTTAAGAATAAACACTATTACATTGAGTGCATGGAATATGGAAATGAAGTGGAAAAAAATAAAGAAATGTGCATTGGAATAGCCCAAAAACCAATGTATATGCATAAATGAGTAGTTATAAAATCCCATAACGCTAATATTAATAGCACGTTTTTATGTTTAAGACACAATAAAGCTAAGTTGCCTCTGTTGGTTAACATTCAAAATTTTATGAAGCTCCGAGACTAGAGACTTTCCAGGATTTACAAGAGAAAATGTCTTTGCCTCGTGCTCCAAAAACTTCCTCGCATCTTGCAGGCTTCCATTCACATAGAGCCCAAGCATGAGCTCTTTATAAGTAGTTAGTTTTGGTGTGTGATTCGCCACCTTCATGTACTCAAACAGGAGCATTGCAGCCTCCATCCTCTTGCTCGCACACAGAGCTCCAATGACTTGCGTATACGTGAGATCATCTGGCTCAATCCCGTGCTCCAGCATGGCTCGCAATAGATTACAAGCCTCTTCAACTCGAGCAGCCGAGCAAAACGCCCCCACTAGAGCATTGCAAGCGATCACGTCTGGAAAGGAGCTGCCACTCGTCGCCATCATCTCGAGCAGCTTACAAGCTTCGTCTACCATTCCAACGTTGCACAATGCACGGAGGAAACTTGTGTAAGTCACTACATCCGCCCCTATACCTTGTTCTTCCATAGCTTTCGCCATTTGGAGCGCCTCTTCAATCCTGTTCTCTTGACAGAAGGCATCGATGACGTTGTTGTAAATCACCAATGTCGGCTTGCAAACTTCCCCACCTAAAGCTTGGCCGGAATGCTTCCGTCCATGGCTCATATCTTCGAGTAGGAGCACAGCCTCTTCAATCTTCCCAGCCTTGCACAGGCAATTCATCAGCCTACTGTAGAGATAAATGCTTCCCGGACAGTTTCTCTGTCTTGCTAGCTCGAAAACCACGAGCGCGATATCCCAGAGCTCTAAGTTGCATAGCGGATCGATGATACTTGAGTAAGTTATCTCATCTGGCTCCAAACCAGCGTCAAGTGAGGCCTTGAGGATGATAATTGCTTCGTCGAACTTGAGAGCTTTGCAAAACCCGTTGATCAAGCACCCGAAAGTGACAACGTCCGGAGAGCTTTCAGAGTCTTTCATCCGACTGTAGATCACCAACGCCTTGTCCAGCTCACCTCTTCTGCAAAAGCCGTCGATCATTCGGGTGTAAGTGACAGTATCCGGCATGCAGCAGTCGCTCTGCTCCATTGCCTCTAAAACTGCGGTGGCGTGGTCGATTCTTCCAAAACTTGTAATGGCGTCCACGACGCAGTGGTATGTATGTATATCCTCTGGAGCTCCATTCTCTCGCATGAGCACGAACACCTTTAGCACCTCTTCCATCTCCGAGGCTCTACAAAACCCCTGGAGAAAGCTGTTGTACTCGAAGGTGCTGGGACGGAGATTCATCGCTTGGAAGAGCTCGAAGTAATCACTGACAGAGAATCCTCGGGCTGCCTCTGGAAACGAAATCTCTGGCGAGTAACAGATGCTCAAGCCTCTTTGAGCCAGTTCGCGAACAACCTGAGAAGCTCTAGAGAACTGGCCCGTCCTGACGACCCCGCAAACTATCGAGCAGCAAAGAAAGTTACCATCGGCAAAAACAGCCCCCATCCTGTCGAAGAGCTTCACTGCAATGTCTTCCTTCCCAGCCTTGCAAAGACTCTCGGCCAGCTTCACAAAAGTCTTGGCACTCACTCGCACGCCCGCATTGACCAGCCTGCCTAAAAACCAAGCTCCTTTGTCCACTGCAAATCCTTTGCAGTAAATCCTGACGAGCAAATCTGCCGTGGAGTCCTCTGGAACAAAGTTCTCTTGCTCAATCAGTTCCTCCACCATTTCAAACACCTCTTGAAACCTGTGCATCCTATCCAAAGCCTTGAACACGGAGTTATAGATCCGAGCTGGAAGTGTGAGTTCTCTCTTCCTGAGCTCACTGAGAATCCCCTGAGCTCTATCCACCATCCCGGACTTTGCATAGCTCACCACTAGATCGGCCGCGGCTTCCAGATCTACGCTACATCCTCTATCCACCATCTCGCTTAAAACCGAGTCCAAATCCTCCATCCGACCGGCCGATGCCAAAACCGAGATGATCTGGTTGTAAGTTCTCGAGTCATGCTCATAGCGCTGTTGCCTTCCAGCCCACTTGAAAAAGAAGAATGCCGTGTCGGCATCTCGTCTCAAGATCTTGACGAGCTCGAAAACAAAGCACGGAGTCAATCTGTGAAAAAAAACCTTGGCCAAAGTATCATCTCCCTCTCCACTAGCCCTCAATTTCTTGAGCTGCGCAGCAGCGTCTGGAAGAAGAATCTGTGCTGGCGACTCGGCAAAGCTCTGCAACGACAGATCCTCCCGGCGATCTGTCTGATAGAACGCGAGCACTGACCTTTGAGCAAGGAGCGCCGCCGTCGTCTGGAGCAAAATCTTCACTGGCGGCGCGATAAGAATTCGGAACATAGATCTCGCTTGCTGCTCCAATGTGGGCAAATCTGGCTGCTCCACAGCTCTCCGGATCCATAGGCATGACGGTCGCTCCTCCAAAATCCCTCGCGGACCCCTTCCTAGATTTTTGGAAACCTCGCTAGAATCATAGCTGCCCTAAACATGCACTAGCAATGCTGCCAAGTGGTCAGATCACAGCCGTCCGTTTTTCTCCCCAGTGCTAGGGTTTGTGAGTCTTCCTCTCTTGATCGAGCCAGGATGTGGCACGAAGCTCGGCGATCCGAGAAGAAAGTCCATGATATCATGGACGCTGCCCGCAAGCGCGCGGAGCGGCGGGCGGTGTTCTTCGCAAAGCGCCGGGGCGATCCGCAGCAACAGCTCAAGATCACGGGAACGCGATGCCGGATGTACGTCGATCAGGCGATGTACCAGGCGACGCAGGATCAGCACGGCCTGTGAGATCTTTTTCTCTCATTTTTGGTCTGGATTGATGGAAATTTCTCGTGGACAGGATCCCGTGGATCGGCAAGAAGGATAATCTGATTGATAGGTGAGATTATAGCTCAGATCTTTGTGTGATTCTCATGGCGGGATGTGTAGATTTGATGGGAGGGCACTCCTGGATTTCATCCGGGAGAGCGATAAGTCGAGGCGGCACGAGAAGACCGAAGAGGAGGAAGAGCTCGAGGAGCTGGTTAACTTTGAGCGGTATCGGGACCTTATCAAGCGTCGTCGTCGAGGATGTCGGTATTTCTGTCCTTACTCGAATTGCTTCTTCTGCGTAACGACTGTTAGAGCTTCCAAAAAACTTCGATGATCAAGCGCTCATGCACTCTGGGGGTGTGTATTCCAGTCAGTGATGAGCAAGGGCTGCTGGATGTTGATCACGAAGACGAAACGAAGACTGGCTCCTCTACATTGGACAGGTTTGTAAATTTTGTTCCTGTTCTTTTTCTTTCATTGTCTCTCTTTTTTTCCAGGGAGCGTGCTGGACAGGGTGTTTACGCACAAGTTGGATACTCATACGATGGAGGAGCCCGTGCTAGTGACGATGAAGATGCTGTCGAAGATGAAGAGGGCGATTTGGAAAGCAGCAGCGGTGATAGTGAGGACGAAGAAACTGACTGCATCGGTAGAGACCACGGTGTGCAGCGGTTCGGCTGGCTTACACACATGGATAAGAAAGTTAAAGCGGCAGAACGTCGGCAGAAAGAAGCTGCAAAGGGTGACACGGCTATGGTAAGAGTATTTTACTATTGCGAAGTTCTTAAAGGAATTGCTTGTTTTTGAAGAAGCTTAGCAGGAAAGAGAGGCGGAAAGCTTCACAGTACGAAAGAGATGCTGCACGTCGGTTTATCTCTAGCGATCCTTATAGGTGATTATCTGAAACTTGGTTCAAGTTTTCACGCTTTCCTTTTGCAGAGAGAGCGACTCGTACTCTTACAGAAAGCGCTCGAGAAGGTGAGCCATTCTGGTGACTCACTTTACTCGCTTCTGACATTTATTTGTTACAGATCGAGGTCTCGGTCTCGTTCTCCTCGGTCAAGGCGGCATGGATACTCCGATAGAGCCCGCAAGTCCGACTCTTCGCGCGTGGGGAAGATTGAGTACATAACGGAGTTTGGAGGTGACAACGAAGCGGATGACAAGGGACGTAGCAGAGGATACTCTCCACCGCCATCGCCTCCTCCATGCCAAGTTGACACTAGTAGTCGGTCGGAGCACTGGCCCTGTGTCCTTGCAATGCTGCAGTTCTATCCTGGCCCCCAAGGCAGCTCTTGGGGTAGAGGGCTTACCACTTTCGAGTTTTACTTTCTCTTTCCTCCTTGCATTTTCTGCTTGCGATTGATTGTATGAAAGCTGGTAGTTTTGCATTAGAGACGGACGTTCTCTATTCTTTACTAACATTACTTTTTCCTGCTAATAGGCCTGCTCCCGGTCGAATACTGGAAGCCTTGCACGGTGATCCAGCGACATCAGTCGGGGGTTCTCTGATTGCAGACGCGGAGAAGGGCTACAGAAAAGACCACAAAGTGACGCCTTTGAGCAGGTAAGGTGTGTGTTTGTTCCTTCTAAAGCTTTTCTTTCTCGGTGGTTCTCTTCCAGTACATCATCTGCTATTGCAAAGCTCAGTAAACCTCCAGCTGCTCCAAAGGCTCAGCAAGCAGAGAAGAAGGAAACTCCACAAGAGCGGCTAAAGAGAATAATGAGCAAGCAACTCAACAAACAAAGTAAGCTTTTCTATTCTTCCGTCCATACAATTGTGAACCGTTTTCCGCAGTTAAGAAAGACACTGTCTCGGAGATGCTAAAGAAGCGAGAGCAAGAGAGGCAAAGACAGGAAAAACTCGCAGAGACGCGAAGATTTAGAAGCCGAAGCCGCAGTAGCAGCCGGAGTCGCAGTAGGAGTCGATCACCATCAAGGCAAGTCCACAAACAAAAAATTCTTTTCCTCCATCTCTCCTGTGCTAAAGTTTTAGTTGCTGTGCTCCAGATACTACGATCGCAGATAGTTTGTATAACAAACGAGACGTTAATAAAGTAAAGACACGACATTTCGTTAGTTTGGTATTTCTCGCATTAGGGTTTAGGGCGCTTGGTGTTCTTTGTTCCGCTCCCGGCAAGAGCACCTATGTTCCCTGAGGGAGGAGGCTGCCAGCGAGCCATTGATGGCTCTCCACATCGCAAGGACTGCCGCGGCTAGATCCATGGACGACATTGCGGTGTTCAAGAATTTCATGCATTTCCTGATCGAGATTGTGGAGCCGCTGGTCGCGTCGCCGATGCACGTCTTCTTCCTCCAGTGGCGGAGCATCGCCGGCTCGGCGCAATCGCAATCCCTCTCGGCGGAGCTGGCGGAGGCGCCAGATTTCAAGCAGCGGATGTTCCACCAGGCCTCGTTCTCATTCAAGAACAGGGATTCTCACGCCAGGTACGCCAATGCGGCCGCGCAGATCTCCCAGCTCCGGCAATGCGCCAAATCCGAGGATCAAGACGCGCTGGCGCGCGTCATCGGCGATCGTCTCACCCCGGATTTCGTCCTTGAGATGGTTAAGGGGCTCAGGAACGATCCAGGCACGGCATTGTTCTTTTATCGCTGGGCAGGGAAGCAAAATCGATCCTCCTACAAGCATGACTCGAGGATCTATAACCAGGTGGTGAGAAATCTGGCGGCTGCCAAGCGTCTAAGTGACATCGACTCGGTTCTTGGCGAGATGATGGATCAAGGGTGCAGCTTAGAGCCGGAGGCAGCGCTGGATTTGGTGGTGTGCTATGCCAATGGCGCCATGGTGGATAGAGCACAGGCGATTTTCAACGAGTTGCGGCATCAAGGCCAGGAGTTCCCAGCTCACATCTACAATGTCATCTTTGGAGCACTGGCAAAGCTCCAAAGGTTCCAGGACGTCTTTCGAATGGTGGAGGATTTGATGGCCAAGAACTTCACTTTCAGTGACTCCACCGCCGACGCGCTCGTCCGGATTTTTTGCAAGGCACTCGCAGTGGACAAGGCCGTGAGGTTTCTCAAGTGGATGAGCAGCAAGGGCTTGCAAGTAAACGCGATGGCTTTGAGCATGGTGGTGGATAGCCTTTGCAAAGCTGGGAAGGAAGACACTGCAATAGGCTTGCTGGAAGACACGGCAGCCTCTTCCTCGGTAACTCTAGCTGATAGGAATTTTCTTTGCTGTTCTCTCATCTGCGGAGTGTTCAGGACAGGTGCTTTGGCCAAGGCTTCGTTTGTCATCCGCAAGCTGCTCCAGCGTGGCCTTGTGTGGAAGCTGTCAGTGTTTGATCATCCAGAAGGGGGCTCGCCGTTCTCGTTTGAGAAGATCATAGCCTTGTTCGGGACGATGAAGGTGGCGATGAGCACGTTCGAATACAACTGCTTGATCGAAGGGCTGTGCAAAGGTGACAGGATTGACGAAGCTCTGAGGCTCTACGAGCTTATGCGAGGAAACAACGTCCCTGCTGATATCTTCACTTACAACAACATGATCGAATGCATCTCCAAGCTTGGCATGGTGGAGCAGGCTGAAAAGGTTTTGAAGACAATGGAGGAGAGCGATTGCAAACCGGACAAGTTTATATACACGCGGGTCATCAACGGGTTTTGCAAGCTGGGGAACTTCAAGAACGCCGTGGTACTCCTTGGCCGTATGAAGGAAGCAGGATACGCTCCTGATGCCGTCGTCTTCGATTGCATCATCGGCGGGCTGTGCAAGACGTCCAAGTTCGACGAGGCATTGGTAGTTCTCAAGGTTTCGATCGAAGCAGGTTGCGAGCCAGACGAAGTCACGTACTTCAGTATAGTTGATCCACTTTGCAACATGGAGGACTGGGAATCAGCTCTGAGAGTCTTAGAACTCGCTCAGGAGAGGAAATGCCCCGCCACCAATTTGCTATACAGCAGGCTTATGAAGTGCCTGTGCAAGACTGGGAAAGTTGAGGCAGCGTGTCAGCTTCTGGAGGATTTGACCAACGGGAGTAGGGAGTCAGAGCAACTTCTAGGGGGGGATGGTTGCAAACCGGACGTGGTTATGTACAGCATCGTCATAGATGCATTGTGCGCCATGGGAATGACCGACGAAGGCTTTGTAGTAGTGAAAGCCATGGAGGAGCGTGGCGTCAAGCCAGACGCAGTCGTGTACACGATCTTTCTCTACGCTTTTTGCCGCTCAGCAAGGCTAGACGATGCTTGCAGGCTGCTGGAAATGATGGTGGAAGCTGGCTGCTATCCGGACGTTATTTCCTACAACACTCTGCTCTTTGCACTGTGTTCTGCTGGTCAAGAGGAGGAGGCTTGCCGGCTCTTTCAAGTCATGGTCGAGACTGGCATTGAGCCCAACGTCTTCACATACACTCAACTCATACGGGCTTTGTGCAGCACAAAGAAGCTAGAGGGTGCCAGGCACTTATTCAATTTTATGAAGCTCTCAAAGTGCGTTCCGGATATGGAGACTTACAAGGCGCTGATCTTGGGGCACTACCAGAATGAAGGCGTACGAGAAGCGAGACAGTTGCTGGAACAGGAATCGGATGCGTTTTCTAGGAGGAACCCTGGAAAATCACTCTTGTCCGAGCTACACGAAGCTGGAAACTTTTATGAGCGTAAGCAGCTCACCGCCATTATTGATCAAGGCCGGTTGGCGTAGAATATGAAGATGCAACTGGTCATATTTCGTTTCAATGGCATCGAGCTCTGGTGAGATTTGAAAAGCTTATTAAGTTTTAGAGTTTGACTCGGTTTTTATGCAGATACAAAAGACTTTTATCGTCGCGAGTATGTAAGTTGGAGCTTTCATTGGTATCAGTAGCTGACATTGTTTTTCTTTGTGCAGGTAACCCAATTTTGTCGACCTGAGGAGCACAAAGTGCTCAGCTAACTATTCTTTTTTCAAAAATCGTTAGTGTTTACAGTCTCCAACCGGACAACAAGACATCCGGACCGGAGGTTTTTGTTGGATTGAGCTCGAGAGCTCGTGATGCTGCTCCGGTACCCGCTCAACATGTCCTAGCTTTTGCAACCAGCTAACAGACCCAGCCATGTTAAGTTTTCGGGCTCCAAGGGTATGCTGCCAATCAGTTCCTCTGCTTCCTCCAGCTTTCCAGACCGGGCAAACAGATCGACCCAGTCTCTTTAACTTCGTAGTTTGCTTCATCGAAAGTATCCACAACCAACATCGACAAGGCCCGAAGCCTAGAGAACGCTGGGGAAGGTGACGTTCTCAGGATGAACACCTTGGACCACCATGAGCCTGAAGAAGCTCAGTGTCTGGTGGCCGGGCCCGTTCTCAGCATGAGCTTGCAGCATCGCAGAGCCTGGGATGACACCGACGGTTGGAAACCTTTCAAAGATGGTCTTGACTCGATCCACGCAGCCACACTTGGAGTAGAGACTTATGAGAACATTCTGAAGCTGAAGGTGGTGGTCCAAGCTGGAACAAGAAATCTCGTCATGAAGAAGTTTACCGAGTGTAATGTCGGGGACGGAGGCACGGTACGTGATCGGGCTAGCGAAGCTGTGAAGAGCAAGTCGGCCGTAACCATTGTGAGCGTAAGCCGAGATCACCGCAGTCTATTTCGTCTACGCACCTTCACTTGGGAGTAACATGGTGATGAGAGAACTGGCTATGGCGGCCCCGGTATCCAAACCAGCGTCAGTAATGCTCGAGTGGGTGACTTTGCCTTCGGCTCTGGTCTGCACTACTCCACAAGGATCGAGAACCGTAGTGTAGGCGACGATGTCCAGCTGGATGCCTTCGAGCAGCATCCGGTGGAAGAGTTGAAGAGGGCTGGAGCTGAGGTTGTTTTGAGCGAAGGCCGAGATCATCGAAGTCCACAGAACGACTTCATAGACTTCTTCAGAGTTGCCGCTGTGATCCGATCAACTTTCCTTTGGCAAGAGCTCTTTGGCTGCCACAGGCTTCCACAATGGCTGCGAGCGATATCTCGTCAACCCGTGTGCCTTCCAAGTCGAATCGCCAACACAGGTCTGTCTTACTGGCCAGCTTTCGACACAAGCTCTAACCATCGTTGTCCAGGAAGCAGCGTGTGGACACGGCATGGTGTCAAAAGCGCATCTGGCTGCCCGTTATGATGTTTGTTGGGATGCCAGATGCGGAAGGCAGTGCCGAGCATCTGAGACACTCCCTCACATCCCATACATTCGATTACCACCCAAGCTAATGCTGAGAGCTCCCACCGCCGTGCTCCGCCCGAGGAAGGGCCCTGGAAGAGATCAGGCAGCGCTGCTCCCCAAACGATTGCAGCGTACCCGGTTGATCGGTCCTCCAGAAGGGACTGTTCCAGCCGCTCCTCACGGCGTTGCAGGCTCGCTCGTCGTAGTTTGGATCATGGCATGGCGATGCTGAAGGGGCCACGCTAATCATTCTCCCTCCCACGGACCGATTGAAGGATGCCCGGGTCTGTGCGTCTGGCCAGCACAGCTCGCCCGCTATACACTTGGAGTGGACATGGCCTGGAGCGAATAGAAGATTGCTAATTTTCAATACCTTGGCTGAGTGCTGATGGAGTACGAGAGAAGTAGTGGTGCTGTTCTTGAGAGGCAAGAAATCTTCGTACATTGTTCTAGCTTGTTTGTCAGCATCATGCGTGCCTTCCAGCAGAAAATTGAGGCAGAAGATTTAGAACCAATTTCATGTTATTCAATATGTAAAATTTGGAAAATAAGTATTGACTCTGAAGAAATTACAGATCTCCTAAAACAAACAATCCAAAGAAAAATATTAGCATTGGTTAATTTTTTATATGCTAAAATACAATTTAACTTTGTATATTAATATTGTGAAATGGCAAAGTACCATCGAAATGTCTTTAGTACTTGTCCTTTTAGCAATTATTTGTAAAATTGAAAATACATCACTTGAATTTGGATATGAAGGAAGCACAAATCAACTTGATATGCAAAAAATTCTAAATGCTATCAATTCTATGATTGCAAATATAAATTGAAAAGAAAAATATCTAGAAACTTGGTTAAATGCAATTACAATACCTTTATCTATAGGAGAAGTCCTTATAAAGCTATCATGGTTTAAAGGAAAATTTCCAAA